TTAAATAGTCATGGTGTTGTGTAACAGAAATAATTCACAAGGTATTCAGTTGCAAAGATTCCCCTGGAGAGTGTATGAAGTGTGATAGCAGTGAATTGTTAGACAATGTCATGTTTACTGTTCACCATACTGTATAGATTTTGTCCAAATTAAACATTTTACTTCTTTTTTATATGGCATTCTTCTGTTCCTCTAAATTTTGCATTTTTGATCTATGTACTTGTTATTGAAATGTATCAATCTCAAGCAAGAGTGCCAGTTTTAAAAAGAAAGGGTTATACTGGTAGAAAAGAACATTGTTTTCTGAGCTTATTTTTGGCATGTTTCTTCTTTTATCAGTCAGAGACTTTGACAAACTAATTAATTGTTCCTCATTCCCCCTTCTTATAATAAACTTCAAAGGTCACTTTGAGAACATCTGGTGTGGTGGGTAATGTTAAGTATAATGCTGTGAGCCCCTTACCTATGTACATTACTCTTGTTAATAAATACAACTAGTAAAAGGTAAAAGTGTGTCCACCTGTTGAATAGTTTACAATATAAAAATGTGCCTCATTCAGGCTATAATTTTAAAGTGTCAAATAAATGTTTCATAAACCATTTTCTACTGAACATCATCTTAAGATTCACCACATTTATGACGTATATATGTACTGTAAATAATTGAACAGATCCACTTCCTCTTTTTTAACCTGCATATGCCTAGCATCTAGATTTCCCATTCTTAAATAAATCTAGGTCTCAGTAACATCTACATCTGTTACATTCACTGGTTCCACCACCTTATTTCCCATTCTAAATGGCAACTAAGTTATTAAATCCAATTGAGTTAACTTTTTCCATATTTAAGTGCCCCTAAGATATAATAAAGCTGTCTTACAATGTATACCATAAGTGCGCAGGTAGTGGTCTTTCATCAGTCCAGAGGGTGCATGTAGCATGAGCTCAGCACACAGAATTGCAGGTGATAATCTTAAAGTGATCCTTGTTATTTCTTATGCTATGCCATTTAACAGTTCCCATGCTTGGAGGCTGGTATGAGCTCATTATTGTTCACTCTCTCATATCACTACTCTCCTTAGATAGTAACTGTAAAACTCTGTAAAGTCAGATGTACTGAGCTGCATTGCATGCCTGTACACAGAATGCCTGCCTAGATTAATCATCTCTCAAATCCAGATTGGCTGGAATTCTGTTTTTTCTATAGGCTGATAACCCATTGCGCTGTGCTATGACAGTGATCTGTGAGCTAACAGATCTATTCAACAATAGTAAATTTACAGCCATTATATTCTTTGCCACAAATGCCTTGGATCAATAATTTGAAATGGCATAACTATAGCAAGAAATGACCTGAAGATGCAAGCTTATGCCCACTCAGTTGTATTGGTCATATGTTATATTCTGAACTCCCCACAGGTTCACAACACTATCCAAGTGGAGGATACTATGATAAATCATGACAGTGACTGTGTAAAAATGCTGAATAATCCTATGTATATTTTTAAAAAGTTGCATTGTTTCCTCAGAATAGTGCAGTGTACATAATATGCGTGGCTGTAGGTTGCCACAGAGGCTGCCTTCTCTCTTCTTTGTGCCCAGTGGTAGAGTGAAGTCAAACACTTTATTTGGGCTGCTGAAAGATGGTACACATGACATTTAACAAAGTATTACACTTTCTTTTATGTATTTCTGACACCTGAGATTTAAATCCCCAGTTAAAGTCCTTGTCTATACTTCAACCAGTGAGAGAATAGCCGAATGCCGCCGAGCGGCATTTGGCTCGGCTGTTCTGCTCGGTCCCTCAGAGGCACAGAGCAGAACAGAAAAAGAGTGAAAAAAGTAGAAAAAAGTTCATAGAAAACGATTGTGCAGAGCTAGCAGTGACAGCTAGCTCCGCCCAATGTAACTATGTAACTATGTATTTTATTCTATATTATTTTTAAAAACTGTTTTTTTTAAACTTTATTTTAGTTGCTATCACATAGGGGGGCTTACAAGCTCCCCATGTGATAGTATATTGGTGGAGACGGGTCCTTTTTAAAGTGATACTGGGGGTCCAAAAGACCCCTAGTATCACCTTTCCACTTTAAATAAAAGGTGAATGGATGTTCGCCGCTCTCCTCCCCAGCTTCCCGCCGCCACCTGACATGCCAGTCCTGGGCCCGCAGGAGGGGCAGCGGAGCCCGGGAAACAGCGGACGTGTCGGGCATGGGGGCGGGTACTTTACTGGCCCATAGAAGCGATCTGGCGGCAGCTGAGCCACCAGAATCACTTCTATTGTAAAGCCAGCAGCCAGCTTTACAAAGGTAAGCAGAGTAAAGTCGGTTTACAAGGCCGTGCTGCCACCGAAATACTAGGTATGTCTGTGGTCGCAAATAGGTTAAGAGGGGAGATGATTGTAATGTACAAATCTTTTTAATGGTGATGGTAGAATTGCTAAAAAAGATGAGAGGCCACCACCTGAAATTGGAAGAAAAAGGATCTAATCTTAAACTGTGGAGGGGATTGTTTATGGTAAGAGTGGTAAAATTGTGGAACTCCCTTCCCCAGGCAGTGTTTTCAGCTATGAGTATTGACTTATTCAAGAACTGTTTAACCACTGGCTGACCAGGTGTTTAGACCCCCTTCCTGGTCGGGCCATTTTTCAGTATTCAGTGCTGCGGTACTTTGACTGACATTTATTCCGTCATACAGATAGAGCTTTCTTTTGGTGGTATTTAATCACCACTGCGGGTTTTATTTTTTACTATGGGGTCTATTCACAAAGCTGCCGAAGGATCTGGCCGTAGCTTCGGCCGATCCTTCGGCTAGCTTCGGCACCAGGACCCCTTCGGTTCAGGAGAACCGAATGTATGCGCACCTGAAGCATGTTTGCATGTTTACATTTTTTTGTTTTTTTTTGTGTAACTTTCATTTTTTCTTTGGAAACTTTAATTTTTTTCCTATTTTTTCCCACTTAACTGTATTGCTATCACATGGGGGCTAAGAAACCCCCCTATGTGATAGCAAAAGATGTGACAGGTCCTCTTTATGGAGACATTAGGGATCTCCAAGACCCCTAATGTCACCTAGGACCCCCCCTGAAGAAGCTGATGAAGCAGAGATCTGCTTCATCAGCTTCTCTTGAGCGTCTGAAGCTGACACGAGAATGCGGAAGTGATGTAACATACATCACTTCCGCATTCTGACACGGAGAGGGGACCGGAGGGAGTTCGTGTACAGACCTCCCTCTGATCCCCTGTCAGAGAGGCACTATGCTGGTCCCGGGCTCGCACTGGGCACAGCGGAGCCCGGGACCACCGTGACAGCGGGAGAGGGGGATGCGGACGCAGGGGGGGGGCCACGGGCCAGCATACTGCCTCTCTGACAGGGGATCAGAGGGAGGTCTGTACACGACCTCCCTCCGGTCCCCTCTCCGTGTCAGAATGCGGAAGTGATGTATGTTACATCACTTCTGCATTCTCGTGTCACTCTCCAGCTTCAGACGCTGAAGAGAAGCTGATGAAGCTGATCGCTTGTATGTTAACAGGCATCGCTGCCAGTTTTTTTGTGTCTTTCCCATGCACGAGTGGGCAGGGCTAACAAGCCGTATGTACACAGCCTGATACATCCAGGAAGCTCCCGGCTGGCCCTTTTTTCACAACGGCCGGCCGGGAGGTAGTTAAATGCTTTCCTCAGAGGACACAACATACAGGGATACAGGTACTCTTACAGGGTTATCCACAAAAAGGGGAAGAGTTTGGAGAAGGCAGGAGAAGTGACAAGGACAAAATAGCTGAACTGGAAAGTGAGCTGATTTGGAGAATGTTGGCCTAGATTGTTCACTTCTCCTGCCTTCTCCAAACTCTCCACCTTTTAGTGAATAACCCTGTTAGCCACTCATCCTCATACTCACAGACACAAACACACAAACACACACACACAGGATATGCTTGATGGACCTGTGTCTTTATTCAACGTCAACAACTATGTAACTACTTATAGAAGAAGAGGGCTAAAAGTAGAGCTGTGGCCAAGCTATGGACATATTTACATATTTTTAACATGTAGTAAATACACACTAAAACAAGCCCTCACTGATCTCTGAAGCAACAGCCACTACAGAGTATTCATCCTCAAAATGTTCAGCCGAAGCTTCCTAGTTTTACTCTCACTTTCTCTCAATTCCACTTTCACAGAAATGATTTGGCAAACTCCCAGCACTCCCTCCTTTAATATAAACACAGAGTAGGTGCACCGGAAGAAGGGAATAGAGAAAAGTGCTGAGACCCGACTTAATAACTTCACTGCTCCTTTTGTGAATTTTGATTAATTAATCCACAGTGTTATAACTACAGAGGTCAGTGATTATTCATTTTAAAACATATTTACTGCTTTTTAAGTTTATGTTAATAACTGAATTTCTGTAGCCTGACCACAGCTCTATTTTAAGTGGGTCAAGATAAATCTTGAAAAATTATGTCCCAGAAAGAGATTATAGGGGTCTATTCACTAAGCTGCCATAGGCAGCCGAGTGAATGACCGACCTGAAGCGAAGTGAGCTGAACGCTGTTCGGCTATTCACTTCAGGCTGGTACGGCTGATTTCAGCCATATATCGGCTGAAATCAGCCGTATATCGGCTGAAATCAGCCGTACGTCGGGTGGCTTCGCGTGGCTTCGGGTCAGCCGAACATGCTCTGCATGTTCGGCCGACCCGAAGTGCAGAAGGAGTTCCAATCAGCCGATCCAACATCTAGATTGGCTAGGCCGAACCTCCGGCAGGCTACTCGCTGCTGTTCGGTCTATTCTTATAGATGCTGAACAGCAGTGAGTGAATAGCCGAATGAGCGGCATTCGGCTCGGCTGTACTTTTTTTGTTCTAAAAAAAGTACAAAAAAATAAATAGAAAATGATTGTGCGGAGCTACCAGTGACAGCTAGCTCCGCCCAACTGTTTTCTATTGGCTAGCGGTTCTGCTGCCGTCAAAAAAAAGAGAAAAAAACATTTTCGCCATAGGAATGCATTGCTAGATTCCTATTGGCCATTTCAATTTGCAATAGCCAATGGCAACTAGCTATTGCACCCGCCCTCTGTTGCTGTCAATCACTAGTGGGGACCTGATGGGGAACTGCAGCAGTGGGCGGGTGCAATAGCTAGTTGCCATTGGCTATTGCAAATTGAAATGGCCAATAGGAATCTAGCAAGGCTCTGTGTCAGAATAAAAAAGAAAAAGCAGTGTTTCTCTCCTAGACGGCCGGGAGCGGGTGACTCCCGGAGCACCCGGGATAGTTAGGCTGTCTGGAGATCAGTGTCCCTGGTTATCTAACAGGGACGCTGATCTCTCTGCAAGTGGCCGGAGCCAGCCGTAAGATCACGGCTGGCTCCGCCCAGCTGTCAGAAGCAGGCTGTCAATGGCCGGCCGCTCGGCCAGCTTCGGCTTTCACCTCAGCTCAGTGGAGCCGAAGCATATGCCTTCGGCTCGACTGAGCCGCCCGGCCGACTTCGGGAGCTGTACGGGCTAGTGAATAGCCCTACAGCAGGCCTTCGGTTCTACTGAACCGAAGGGGTCCTGGGGCCGAAGCTAGCTGAAGGATCAGCCGAAGTTACGGCTAGATCCTTCGGTTGCTTCGTGAATAGACCCCTATGTTGCTCAAAACCCAGCTTAACCTTTCGTTTAAATCAAATAAATACATTCCAGGTGCATCAAAACAAAAGGTGTTAAAATTCTTACAGTTTGTTTTCTTTACCAACCAGTCACACCCTTAGCAGAAAAGCCTGTACCCTGCAAGCATGCTGCATAGAAGGAACTTTGTTCTCCGTGTGGAAGCAGTGATCTCTATGTAGAGGTCTGACCTCTACACCTTTGTGAGTCAAACCTTTCAAATCAGCAAGGAATATGAGCTTAACTGATTGCAGAGCTACAGGTCTGAATCAGAAGAGGTGTGTTGGGCCTCTGCAGACAGGCCATTGCTTCCACCCAGAGAGCAAGGGTCCCACTGGATGATCCTACCAGGGGACAGACTCTGTGGCTGATTTCTAAAGCAAATAAACTGTACGACTTTAATAGGGAGGTAGTGCATGTTGAATCTTTCTAACTATATAATTATTTTAAAAAGTTGGAGTACCTCATGGTTTTTTTAATGTCTTGGTCTCCCATGCCACACATGTGCTTTTGCAACAACTGTAAGAACATGGGTGAACCTTAGTGTATAGCTATTTTTATTTAGTTTGGTTTCCAGTATATTCTAGAGAAATATGTGTTGATAAATATCCTCTAAATTCTTTAATTTTGAGTCTTTAAACTTTTTTTTGACATAGTAATAAAATGAATGGTTGCCTGACTTCCACAACTCTACTATGCCATGATTACTCTAGAACTTGTATGCTACCTAGGTATTTAAAAGAGGCTTTGCTGTGTAATAAATTAAGTTACTGCACTTTTCCTCCAGGTAAGATCAGTTAAAACAAGGTCACAACGGGAGAGGTGGGGACCCTGGTGGGGGGGTTTCCATTTAAAATCATGATCATATTTAAAACCTTTGAATACTGATGCAAACTAATTAATTAGAAGATAAGTTAGTTTAAAAAAATGAGCATGCAAAATATCTATAGCATAATTTCCATATAGATGTATTCCTATTTTACAGTGTAAAATGCATGCATGAAACAAATGACAGTTGGATAGTATAATGGACATTTTGCCTGTCCAATGTAGTTTTTATGTTCTTCACTGAGATTAACTCTGTTCTTATCACATCATTCCAGCGGTGAGAAGACTACATCTAGGAACCTTTGACATACTTCATAGTAATAGAATATTGATATAGCTGATACAGGAGGTAATAGGATTCATCATTTGGTAAATCTTCTGCCATCTGCAATTTTACTGATCTATTTAATTAGCAATTTTACTACCTTACATACTCTCATTTAATTAATTAATAATTAAGTTCAAATATAGGCATCTTTAATGCCATAATTATATTTCAGTTTTATAGCCACAAGAGTTAAGCTCATTAGCTAAGGTGATCATAAACCAGTGCTTTGGAATTTAGGGATCATTCCACGCTGTAACTGTAAAAGTAGTCTCTCTTCTGCTACATATTTTAATGACACATTTTTTCTCTTTAACAATATAATTTGCGTTCTACAGTATGTGAGCATTATATTGGGGGCTGTGATTGTTATATTACAGTCATTTTTCTGCAACAAATGTTAAATATCTCAGCAAGAACATGAATAAATGTTATCCTATGATTTCCAATGGCCTATAGCATCATACACAATTATGAAAGCACAAAAGAGTAGAATTAGATATGAATATTATTAAATATTTGGCTGGTTTAAGATCCTAGTGAATTCAAGAAAAAAAACGAATTTGTGGGCCTAGCTCGCACATAAGAGTTTCTCAATAAAAAGGACATTTTCAGTTTAAATTGTAGACATGAAATGTATATGCCAAAATGTTACTTATTTATAATGTCTCATTTGAGCTCACATTCAATTGATAAGTTATATCATATGGGAATATTTTCCTTAAATTGCAAATAATCTTGTGTCTGTAGGATCCCAGAAGGCTAGAATACAAAGTCAGCCTTTCCTAACTAGGCTTTCTTTCTGTGGGCCAATGCTGCATCCCCTGCCTTAGTGGGCCTAGAAGAATTATCAAGTCATTACTAGAGAAGCAGTTATGGATATCTGGAACCAGAAGGCAGGAAAGGGCATTGCCAGTATAGCAGATCAGCACTGCAGGAACTAGACAATATATTGACTCTTTATCAGGATAGCAGATCAGTTGTACAGAATCCATCCTTGAAATAAATCAAGGATAAAATGAAAACCCTTGTTAAGGCACAATATAAAGTGCACTATGCCAAACCTAATTCCAAAGACAAATTTCATTACATACATGCTGTAGTGTAAATGTGGTGCAGTATACTGAATATTTAAGCTAGCAGGTGGTTTAGAAGTGCTTCTGAAAACAACATCAAAAAGACACTGAGACCAGAACAGGTCAATGCATAACACTTACATGAACTTGCTGACTGGATTGTAATGTCCTCTTTTCATATGGACAATACTTACCTGTATAGGACTGAGGGTCCATTCACACTGCTGCAATGTGATGCAACACATGTTAATGCATGGCATAAAGTGTGTCAACTCACGTTATGCCACACGTTACTGTGCATTAGATCAAGGCAGCCAATTAATTTCAATGTGCCGCTTAACACTCAAAAAACTCATCAAAAAAGGTGCATGTAGTATTTCTGGCAGTGCACAGCATATTAGTGCATTGCAGCGTGTCGGGGTGCCATTCAGAATGAATGGAACAAGTTCATACCAATGCATGTAAAGTGCATTGCTAACCATTGTAGTGATGCACACATTAACATGCACATTACCACAACACACTAATGTTAATGGGCCCCTTCAAATAATTTGGGATAAACATACAACTCACAATAAGCATCAGAAATGTATACAGCTGGGATAGGCATACTCCAACCCCTTCAGCTGCTGCAGAACTACAAATCGCATTAGGCATTGCAAGACTCCGACAGGCACAGGCATGACTTCCAGAGGCAGATGCATTATGGGATTTGTAGCTTTACCACAGCTGGAAGCCTGGAGCTTGCCTACTCCTGGTATACAGCAAAGTATGCAAATGTCAGGACAGTACAAATGTGAAGCGCAGATACAGTGCTGCAATCAAAATTACGCCTCAGATTATTTTACACCAGGGCGGACTTGCATTATATGTCACATCTGAATTTGAATTTCCAATAATAGATTTTTTTTGTTGTCTATAGGACAAATGACACTTGTTGAATATTATTTGTATTGGTGGTATGGCCAGGTGTTAAAGTGTGTCTTTATTTGCATTTATAAAGGGGAAAGAGAATACTTGAACCTGCTATCTACAGAAGATCTAGGTAGTTATAAATGTGTATTGATGGTTAGTCATGTGATTGCATCTAATTTCAGGGCCACTGGGACATATAGTAGTATTCCAATGGCATCATAATTACATAGCATCTCACTTCAGGTTCCAAATATATTTTAAGCTATAGTAGAAGAAATTACATGAAATAGATTAGTATTAGATTACCACTTAGTCTACACCAATTAATTTCCACCATAATATTTGTTCAATCTGTGCTATGTTGCACCATGCAACCATGCAACCATACTACGTTTTTTGAAATCCAAATCTTTATTAGTCAAACTTGAAGAATCCTAAAGGCAGCCCATTCTATTCCCAAGATTTACAGACCTTGCTGTCAAATATTAACTATTCATCTCAGTAAACAACACACTTATGCCTAATCATGTAACAAAAATTGTTCTCCAGTCTGCACCCACAGACCCAGTTATTCCCTTCAAGATGCCACCATCTTGTCTGCCTTACAGCATAGAGAAAATGCCAGACTGTCAAGCACAGTTCCCATGTCAAAGTTACATCTTCCCATCCTGTGACAGTCATTCTTCACTACACTCGTCCTACATCAGTGGCCAAGGTGAGTGATTAGAAGTGGAGATGAGATTTTAGCTGATGGTTTTTATTTATTTATTTTTATCTAAATTTGCATATCAATGACAAGGCCTTTTAGTCTGCTTTACATTTTCAAGCTAGTAGGAGTACATCTAAAATAGATGACAGAGTGGCTTACTCAGGCAATATTAGGTGGTTGATATACTAAAGATAAATAGACTGTTAACTTAGCAAGGGAATTTTTTCTTTGCAAAGGAATGTTCCCTTAGTTTAGTGAATGTGGTGATAATTCACTTTGCAAAGAATGCCCAATCACGGACAAGGAAAATAAAAAGAAACAGTATTTTAGCTTGCACATGATTGAATGATAGAAGTCAGGTGAACTTCAGCTCATTCACTGAGCTAAGTAAATAGTGCCTAGCAAGGTAACAGTCTATTTGCCTTTAGTAAATGCACCCCTATGTCTACATACTATTGGAAAGGTTCATTTTGACAAATGTTTGTCTTTTTTTTTTCTATAGCTGTCTCAAGGAATCTTGTAAAAGGAATCTTGTAGCACACAGTTATGCCCCTGCTGGATTTTTCATGCAACTACTTGAAAGAACAGATGGTGTGAAAAAACGGCCGGAGGACACAGTGGGGATAGCGGACAAGGTAAGACCTACACTGTATTCCGGGGTGTGGCTCGGGGTTACTGCTTTGTTAACCCCGAGCCACACTCGGGAATACCAATGGATACGCGCGGAAATCCGCCCCAAAGAAACTCAAGTACTATCAGCGCTGAAAAACGCCCAGGTGGGTGCCACGCCCATACCAATTAATAGGATTTCACTTGCTGAGCGTTTTTCAACGCTTCAATCAGCACTGAAAAACGCCCAGGTGTGAACCCAGCCTTAGAGTGTCAGAGCAAAAAACATTATTTTAGAATATAATGAGTAAAAGAGATGCTTTCAGTCAAACTTCAGCCCCTACTAAAGCAGATCGTTGTATACTACTGTTACAGAGTATGAACAGAGAGAACTGACTTACTGTGATTACAAATAACAGAGCTTGCTAAAAGCTATGGTGCAGAGGCTACTGATACATTACAGCTATAACAAGCTATTGAACACCTTTTGTCTTTCCAACAAATGGACACACCTATTCACTGACAAGGTAACAGCAGATAAATGGTGTGTGAGAATTTCTAGCCATTGATTTGTCACTTAGTTGAACAGAATGACAGACATAGTTCATTATTCTGCTCATTAGTTAACTATTGAAGGCAGTAATACAAGTCAATAAAATGTAAGACAGTAAATTCCCTTACTAATTAGTACTATTTCCTCTGAAAAATATTTATTGGGAAAAGAAGTTTGGTTTCCAATCCAATTTATTTGAAAAAAAAAATATATAGTTAAAATACAAAAATATTCAATGCAAATATTCCATTGTCAATGCTAAAAGGTGCTAATTTTTGCATTTCAGAAAGTTAGGTACATTTTCGCAGTGCTTCACCAGCAGAATTAGTGACCCGGTGGAATATTAATAGCAGCTTAATTGCAGGACACAGCAAACAATAGAATGATTTATGGGACTAATTAACCATTTTAGTACCGGCTTGTTACACCTCCTTCATTACCAGGTCATTTTTCAGTTTTCAGCGCTGTGCAAGTTTGGCTGAGAATTCCTCCATCATGCGACACTGTAACAAAATGAATTTCATATATTTGGGGCAAATAGAGCTTTCTTTTAGTGGTATTTAATAACCATTTTTTTATTTGAAATATATAAAGTAAAAAAGACCAAGAAATGTGAAAAAGCCTATTTCTCTTACTTTAATTTTTAAATCATAGCCAAGAAAAATCCAGGACAGTATGCAAATCCCCAAAATAACCCCTTTTTGAAAAGTTGACACTCCAAGGTGATCTGATTTTTTGCTACAATTTTTTGGAAACGAAGAAACATGCCAGTATTGTGGGGGCTAAAACATGTAGCTTGGTAATAGTGCACAAGATACAATAAATGAACAGGCCATAGACAGAGGGAGGAGGGGGTGAATGGTTAATGTACAGGTCACACAGAGTGGGAGGATGGAGATTACATAGTATTTGGGGTTGAATAAAGACATACGTCCATCAAATCCAACCCATATAGGTCCACGCATCATCTCATTCTTAGGGATACTTGTATCCCTGGATATTACGGTCCCTCAAGACATTTTCCAAAAGTTTCTTGAACAAATCTACACTCTTGGCTGAAATCACTGCCTCTTGGCAGTGAGTTCCAGACCTTAACCGCTCTTACTGTAAAGATCCCTCTTCGCCCATTGTGCTGGAATTTTTTCTCCACCAACTTTAGGTGGTGGCCTCTAGTCTTTGTAATGGAGTTAATCTTAAACAGTTTGTTGCCAATGTTGCTGTCACCATTGAACATCTTGTAAATCACGTACGTTGAACCCGAGATGAAGGGGTTAATGTATAGATGTGCAGGATAAGGGAGGTGAAAGGGTTAATATACAGGTCAGAGCATACATAGAATGGATCTAACATAAGCAGGAGAGGAGTGGGGTTAAAAGGGTTACAATTATTTGAAACTATTTTATTATTATTATTATTTTGCCACTACTGCAACCTGTTTCAGTAGGAAGTAATGAATAGATGACTCGTCCATTCATTAATCCCTTTACTCTCCCCTGCTTCAGATTTAAGAGGAAGGAAAGGGCTTAACAATGTGAACATTACCATGTGATCACTGTGATAACCAATTGCAGCAATCATAGGACAAAGAGCCAGTTGGATCAGCTCTGTGTCCTCCTGGAACAATGGGGTCCGGGACCAGCCATATATATACAGTGGCCAGTCCGCAGGTGGTTAATAAGAAAGTACTCAATGTTCACTACAATAAAACATCAGAATGTTGTTTTAGATGCAAAGAAAAAATGAATGTTCCCTTAGCTTTTGCCATGCTCCGCCTATCACATTTCTGTCAGGGGTGGAATCTCCAAGTTGGTTCTCAGCAGTAGAGCAGCAGTAAAGCATTCTATCCATAATGAAAAAATCTATCTCTGGTAGAATTACATTTCATCTCATAATATGCATCCGAAATGTCCCCCTTCTTCATTATTTCACTTTATAAATCACATGGAACACATAGAAAGTTTATGCTTTTGTCTATGACTGTGACTTATATGTTTCCTAAAGCCATTACTCAACATGTTTCCAGTCTATAATAGACAGATTCCTTCCACATCATAATCCTTATTTAGGGTTTCCAGTAATCAAAGGTCAAGCAATCAATTAACACAATTAAGAGATTTATCATTGATTTTGCTACTTCTGTCACGTGTTTCTGGTGAATGCCTCTAGAGTGATTGGAATCATTGTGGTGTCCAGGAAGTAGTTAACTATCTAAAATGTAACAAAAATATTATTTGTAACCATGAATGCTGTACAGTTATAATCTTAAAAAAAATTGTTATTTCTCAGTTAGATAAAACATTTAGGGTGTTACATTCACAAAATATTAAACCAAAACAAAAAAATGGTTTTGAATAAAATAGCTTTAATCAATGTGATTAAGCTCTCTTTAACAGGTATGTGCAGATACATTACTTATCTTTTTAATGTGTTATATAATCAGTATTATATATCTGCAAGTGATACATTATTCAAATGAAATAACACAATTTATGCTGTCACTTAATTGAAACAAATATTATATTGTGAATTCTAAAATCAAGGATTTTGTAAAAGTTAAAACACAGATTAGATTTGTCCTTTTTGCTACATTTAATCTAATATATATATA